AGTTGTAATGGAGTAAAGCAAATGTCCCTATTTTGACTAAAAATGGAGGAAAATAAGATAAAACCTGGAATCAGAACTAAAAGATGACCATATTGCCTGGATGCTGCTGGGTAGAGTGGAGGGAAGCATCTTAGACTTCCCTCCCCTTCTGGGTCACACATGGATGGAAAATGGATGGGCTTTGCTTCCTTCCGTAAGCCAAGAAGCTTGATGAAAACATGGCATTTGCAGGAATAATCTCAAAAACAGTTCCAAAGAAATTTCCTCTGTTTCCCCAGAAGATTACTTCCCCATTTGTAGATCTCAGGCTTTGAAGCATCTGCCAATACTATGGAAGATACAGAGCCTTTAAACAAGTGAACGATGCCTTTTTGTTCTCAAAACAAACTGAAATGGAAATTTCCAGCTGGGGAATGTGAGAAACCAAACATTCCTACTTATTGCATAGGATTTCATCCATCTTTAGATTCCAAACCGCTACCTTCACAGAACATAGAATCACAGGCTTGGAAGAGACCTTGGTGGTCTTCTAGTCCAACCCCCTGCTCAAGGCAGAAGACCTTATCCTATTCTGGTCAAATGGTTGCCCAGTTTACTTTTTAAAACTTTCACTGATGGAGCACCCATAACTCTGGGAGGCAGACTGTTCCACTGATTGCCAGAAAATCTCTCTTTAATTCTAGGCTGGATCTCTCTTTAACAAGCTTCCACCCATGACTTCTTGTTCTGCTCTCTTATGCTTTAGAGAACAAGTCAGTCCCCTCTTCTCTGTGACAGCCCTGCAAGTACTGGAAGAAGAGTTACCAGGTTCCCCTGACCAACCCTCCTCTTTGATAGGTTAGACATACCATTTAGCCCACAGACCCTTGCCATCTTTGTTGCTCTTCTCTGCATTCTTTCTAGCAGCTCAACATCTTTTTTGCATTGTGGTGTCCAGAACTGGACATAGTATTCCAAGTGTGCTCTCACCAGTGGAATATAAAGTGATATCATCACTTCTCGTGATGTTGATGCTATTGCTCTGTTGATGCAGCCTAGGACTGCATTGGCTTTTTGGGCATCTGCAGCTCATTGCTGGCTTATACTTAAGCAGTGGTCCAGTAGGACACCTAGATCTCCCTCTCTCAATTATTACTGTTGAGCCAGGTGCCACTATTCTGTATCTGTGCAGCAGAAATTATTGACAGAGAGAACAATCAGTGAAATAGCTTGCCACCACAAATTGTGGAAGCTCCATCATTTGAGCCTTTCAAGAAGAGGGTGGACAGCCGTTTGTCTGGAATGGTTTAAGGTGTCCTGCTTGAGCAAGAGGTTGGACTAGAAGAACTCCAATGCCCCTTCCAATTCTATTAGTCTATATTTTGCTCTCAATTCTTGGCCACAAGGAGACCTGACTTGCCAATACCAAAAACTGTGGATTTTGGTGGGCCTAGTTGAATGTTCTTGAATCCCTCTCTGTGAGATGGGGTTGTTTCTAACTTTTTTTAAGGGCCAAGCAACCTTAAGTGGAATGCTGCAGAAGTAAAGCGAAAAACAGGTGACGGAAAACTATTTAAGTAAAGCAGATTGGACTATCAGGATTGTTCTTTTCATGACTTGTTTTCAGTGCTGCCCCCTGCTGGCTGAAAAGGGACTTCGGTTTTTGGACATAAGACAGGTTGCAGACATTTAAATGAAAGCTTTATTGGTTTTTTGTCATGCACTTCTTCCGGGGATGCTTGTTCTTTGATTTGACACACCATCAGTGGTTTTCTTATCTTTGTCTTACTGTCCAAGCAGCATAGGTTGGGCAGAGACTATAAATCCCAGTTTACAAGCTATAAACAAGTTCATTCAACAATGAAGTCAAAACCACCCAAAAGTTATAATGGCTTTATTCAAGGCACAACTACAGCCACTTCCTTTTGTTTGTTCAATGTCCATATCTAACCTCCTTGCAGTGAAATGTTTTGTTTCCAAGTTGGCATGCTTGGACTTGGAGAAGCCACCTCACTTGACAAAGTGTTTTATCCTGATGATACCAGCCTCTAGGCGCTCCCTTTCCTGAAGGCCACCTGGGGAACGAGGCCATTAGAAAAGCAGATCACTAGTGGATGTAATATCTAAATTAGGAGAGGATATGGATCTGCAGCCTCACTGAATGCCCAGATAATTTGACCTCTCTTACACATTTATTGACATATTGCAAGGTTTATTTACTATTGCCCCTACATGCATTCCCAGGACTTGATATTTTTATGAATCCAATAAAGACCATTTGAACTTGCCATTACATTGTACCGGTAAACCAAATCCCTCCCTTGGCATCCACTCAGAACAACCATAAAGAAATCTCTGGTGACCTCTAGGAAAGCAGAGTGAATAGGAATCTTCCAAAGATGCCTCCATGCCACATGCTCTGTGGAAGAAGTCTGTTCAAGCCACCAGAAAAAGTGTCATCCAGATTTCCAGGTGAAGTGTTAATGCCATTTTATAATACTCTGGTAAGGCCACGCTTGGAATACTGCATCTAGTTCTGGTCACCAAGATACAAAAAGGATGCCGAGGTCCTAGAAAGAATGCAGAGAAGAGCAACAAAGGTAATTAGGGCTCTATAAGCTAAACTGTACAACGAACAGTTAAGGGAATTAGGTATGCCTGGTCCATCAGAAAGAAGGACTAGAGATGACATGATAGTGGCCTTCCAGTATTTGAGGGGCTCTCCCCTCACAGAGGGGAGAGGTTCAATCTATGTTCCAAAGCATCTGAAGGCAGAACAAGGAGTAACAGGTGGAAGATTAATGAAGAGAGAGCCAACTTAGAATTAAGGAGTAATTTCCTGACAGAACAATTAATCAGTGGAACGAACAGCCCTTCAGAAGTTCTGGGTGCTCCATCACTGGAGGTTTTTAAGAAGAAACTAGAGGACATTTGTCCAGAATGGTACAAGGGCTCCTTTTTTAGTAGAGGGTTGGACTAGGAGACCTCCAAGATCCTTCCAACCCTATTATTCGATATTCTATGTTCCAAGCAAGGTCTAAGTGTTGCCTTAAAGGAGAGATGGGAGGCGTAAAAGTGTAATAACCAAGACCATGCAAGAATCTTGTGAGTTTAAAATCGTAGCCCAGTCTTTCTCAATCTTGACAAGTTCAAGACATGTGAACTTCAACTCTACCTAAAGAACAGCTACAGACACAGGCATTTCTTGCCACTGGATTTCCCAGGCATGGACTCCTGGACAGAGTGAAAACACAGACGGTGCTCTCAAAATGGAGACTCAGAAGGGTTAGGACTCTCTCCTACATGGTTGTTTATACCTTTAAAGCCCTGTCCTCAGGCTTAGATCTAAAAAGACACAAGAAATCATTAGCATCAGCCAACCTACAGCATAATAGCTAGCATTAACCAACCTGAGATGGAGAGACCGAAACTAATTAAAACAGTTGTCGGATTATTTGCCCTCTTTATGGCAGCAACCTTTGGAGGGCCTGCTCCCAATGGAAAAGATGCTTAAGAGCTCTGGCACCCCCACCCCACCCTTTGCTCCCCACCCATCTCTGGCTAGTTGGCAACTGGAATTGAGCAGCCTTTAAAGTCAGACGTAAAGTGAGATTTGGACATTAAGTGTGAAACCTACTGGGTCAGGCTGGACAGCCTCCTACAGCCTCTTTACTTCTATATTAAAGCAACATAGGCAGAGTTGCAGCTTGCAGCTTGCAAAAGAACAGGAAGCAAGTGCCTAACCACAAGATGTCCCTCCCTATGTCAAAACCTATGTCAAAACCTATGTCAAAAGTCCAAGTTTCAATTAAAGTTCGTTAATGACACATACTCCATAAACAAAAGGAGAAGACAGACCCCCATCTCCTTATAAGTCTTCCTCCTCAAGGTAAAGACTAAGAAATGTGTTAAGTATTTCCGTATTACGCTGCCTTTGAGAATGTATAAGAATGCATGCTTCGATAATAAAGGTGGTTCAGAACTTGCAATGCTAGCCATGGGCTAGCTTTCTGAACCTGGCTGCCAAATAAACTTTTCCTGTAAACTGAGAGGTCTAAAGCCTGTCATTTTCTGCAACACCTTCCTCCTGCTTTGTGGTTTGAGTTGGCCTCCTGTTCCTTTTCACCCATTTTACCCTGGAGAAGGAAAGGAGGCTCCGCCCTCTCCCCCTTGCCCAGGCTCCTGGACCAATTGGGAAAGACCATTCTGAGAAGGGGAGAAAAAAGGGCCCCTCCTCCTGGGAAGAGGTTATCCATCGCATTTTACATGGCTTGGGGGTCACTTGGAGCAGCAACTGTCCCAAGGGATTCCTGGGCCAATTGGGGCTGCAGACTCTAAGGGGTTTGTTACCTAGCCTCTCTTCCACTTTTGCATTGCTACTTTATATGGCAAACCTGAGGAAAGGACGGTATCCTCTTGATTCTCCTGAAAGAGACATTGGATCCTTCAGACTGAAGAAGTTAAATAAAATCGCACTAACTTTGGTGGAATCTCCCCTCCCGTCCGGCCTCCAGTTATATCCAGCCAAAGCCTCCTTTTAAGGAGGGCCGCGGGTGGGGCGGAGTACTTGAGCCAGAAGCCCCGGCGTCTCTGAAGACGGGAGGGAAGCGGGGGAGACCCACCGGCCTTCCGAAAGCCCCGGCAGAAGGGCAGGAAAGCGGGGGCGGCTGGTTCTCCGTCCCGAGGAAAGGAGGCAGCGGGGCAGCTCGAAGCCGCCGAAGGCCGCTCCCGCCTGACCCGTGGAAGAAACTTCCTAAGGCGAAGCCTTCGCCGCCGACCCGAGCCGCGCAGGAGAGGCGGCTGGAGGCCGGGACCGGACCGCCTTCGCTCCGCGCCGAGCGCCCCAGGGACTGGGTGGCGGGCCCGGCCCTTCCGACTCCCCACGAGGCGGCAGGCGGGGCTGGTCAGAAGGCGCGTCGGGGAACTGCCAGCCGTCACTGCCCACCTTCCTTGACGCGCCGCCGCCGCCGGGCTATAAGAAGCCGCCGGGCTGGCGCAAGGCAGGCAGGCGCTCCGGGCGGCGGAGGCTCAACAGGCGGCCAGAGGGAAGGCGGCTTAAAGCGCGAGGGGCGCGGGAGGTGTTGCGCGGCGACCCGGCTCTGCTGCCGGTGGGGCAGCGGGCATGGAGGCGAGCACGGCGGCGGCGGTATCGGCCAACGGCTCGGCGGCCAACGGCTCGGCGACCAACCCCTTCGTGCAGACGGGCTGGCAGATCGCGCTGTGGTCGGCGGCCTACGCGCTGGTGGTGCTGGTGTCGGTGGTGGGCAACCTGGTGGTGATGTGGGTGGTGCTGGCCCACCGGCGGATGCGCACCGTCACCAACTATTTCCTGGTCAACCTGGCCTTCGCCGAGGCCGCCATGGCCGCCTTCAACACGCTGGTCAACTTCACCTACGCCGTGCACAACGACTGGTACTACGGGCGAGCCTACTGTCGCTTCCATAACTTCTTCCCGGTGACCGCCGTCCTCGCCAGCATCTACTCCATGACGGCCATCGCCGCCGATAGGTGAGATGCCGCCGCCCGTCCCGGCACCAGCTCCCGCGCGGCCTCGGCGCGACTCTTCGGGCGGGAGGAGCGGGAGGAGAGCGCGGCGGGGCGGGTTACGCTCTTTCTGCCCCGGCCGGCCGCAGTTGGGCGAGGCTCGCTGGAGGGAGACGGCAAGGCAGCCGGACGCCCGCGGGAAGGCGGCGGCTCCAGGCTTTGCCGCGGCAATTGATGTTGCCCGTCCAGGAGCAGAAAGTTCCGCCCTTTACCCCCGCCCGGCTTTTGCCCACCGCCCGCTTCTAAAGGAGGGGCGGGCGGCGCCGGTGATTAATAGCCGGGACTCACACGGACACTGATGGAGCCCCGGCGGCTGCCTGTCCTCAGTGCGCTGAAGTCTTCCCCCGGGGAAGGGGCCTCAGCTGCTCTTGCCTGGGCCCCTTGGGAAAGCCCCCCACCTGCTCTGTGGCCCCTCCCAGACTCCCTTTCCCAATTGGGACTCCACAGGGGCTCCTAGAGAACGAGGCGGGCCGGTCCTTCCGCGCTCTCTGCTCAATTGCCGGAGCCTCGGCATGTTCAAATGCCTGCCGGACTTCGCACATCAAGCGCGCTGCAGAAGCGAAAACAATGCGGTTCTCCCGACAACCTCGGGAGGCGGCTTGGCTGAGAGGCAGAAACTTGCTCAGATTCGGTGCATTTTCACTTCCCCCGCCCCCCTTTTTTTTACCGAATTGGAGCGAAGACCAGAGACGCATCTAAGGCCTGTGCAGGTTTCCGCAGAAATCCCGGCGAATTGTCAAACCCTGTTTCAGAATTCATCTCTTTCCTGCTTTGGCAAAATGCCCTAAACGGGCACTCTGGCTTTACCAGAGGTGCGAAGTCACAGAAACAAAAGAAAGCTGCACGGGAGATGCTAATGCTTCCACCTCAGTCCTGCCTGGAGCCCCAAGTGGGATCCCTGCTGTTCCCCCTCCTCCTCCAGGCTGTTCTCCCCACAACAGCCCCCTGGGAGCTTGGTTGGGCTGCGGCCACCAATGTCTCTTGTGGAGCTTGGGGAACCTTTTGGGTCCAGAATGGATCTGACAGACGGCTCCCAACTGTTTGATGAGGTTTGATGGAGGCTGGCAAAGTGAGCTACTACCCCTCTCCTTTGCCTGGGGGGCCACCCAGGAAGAAGGCTGGTTTATTTCTGTATGAATTTGAAAATTGTCCTGCATGCCCATCCTCAGACTTTATTCCCATGGGCAAGCTGGTGGCCCATGGAGGGAGCAAAGTCAACTGGGTCTCCTCCTTCATGGCTACCCCACTGCAAATGCCCTTTGCTGCCCGTGGTGGGATGAGGGGCTTGTGAATGTGCTTTGCGGGACATGAGCCAGGAAGGCAGGTAGGGAGTCTCCTTGCACCAGTGATGGCCAGCAGGGTCTTGGAGATCAGCTGGTTTAATAAAAAAAGGTTCTCTGCCCTCCTTCGCAGGGGTGGGGGTGGGGGGAGATATTTGCTCCACATAGTTTGTAAACATTGCTTTTAAAACTGAGGATATCTATCCATGCCTTTTTGTCAGGAGTAAAGCTTTTTGTGGTTTTCAAAGGATTTTAATAACACCCCCCCCCCATTTTTCAGTATTTTTCAGAGAAGAGTTTCATGGAGGGTTTTTTGTATGTGTGTTCTGAAACCCACTATCGTTACATGAAGTGAAAAGCTTTCATTATTGTAGAATGGTAGCAATGCAGGAAACATCTGCCTTTTACCACAGCAAAACTAGAAAACGTTTTACTTCCCTCTTGACTGCCTTGAAACATTCCTACCATAAAAAGTAAGGCGGCGGCTAGGGGAGGGGGAGGCATGGGGCTTTCCTCTAGGAAAAATGAATGTCTGGATGATCGCTTCTTGCATTTTTTAAATATGTGCTGATATCACCTGGAACATGCTGGTACATTCCAGTTAGAAGGCCGGGGGGTGGCAGGGAACTCCCTGTACGCTTCATCCACCACTAATTTGGATGTCAGAGCTGCAGTTTTTCATCTGTTGGCTGTTATTGCTCTGCTGTAATGAACGCTTTTCATTTCATGCAAGGAGGGTGAGTTTCTGCCATCCGTGGACTCTTAGTGCCCAACATTTAGAAGGCTCCCCTTCTGCATATGCTACAAGTCTTTAGGGGTTTGGAATAATGCAAAATGTGTCCTCTAACCTAATAAATTCTAATTCTAATTCTCTGTTTTATTTTTATTTTCTTTTGTTGGGCATTTGCTTTTGAAACGTAAAATCCTAATCCTTGGGATTTTCAACAGCAATTACTTTGAGTCTGGAGAATTTGAGAAGTTAAGAGTGGGTTTTCACACATTAGGTGCTGGGTCCTCATCTTTCCACAGCTAAGAAAAGCAGAGTGGATGAAGTCAAAAGCAAAATTTATTAAATAAATGGGCAAAATGCAAATTGTAGGCCATTGAGAAGCTGATTACAGTGTTTTTTGTTGCTCAAGTGAGATGATTTAAGTGCAGAATATTTCTTATGCATTTGAATACACACCAACATTCCATTCGTTCAAGTATCAGCATTTTGAACTATTGATCAGTCAGCATGATGGAAAGATGCTACACCGCCTTGGAGTAACTGCATCAACTGAAGCAGCTTCAGCACTGGGAGAGGGAGAGGCCAGGTTAAAAACATAGCAATAAAACCAATAAGTTAATTGAAATAACAGCTGGAAAGACACGGCTCTCTAATGCCCAAGCTTTGTGCTGGACAGGGCTGCAGTTGAGGGGGAGAGTAATTGCCTCAGGACCAACACAAGGAGTATATTACTCATATTATGCAGGAAGAAACCAAATGGCATAGAAAGTATCCACTCTGGGGGGGGGGAAATAGCCCCTTTTTCTGCCTGTACAGTATGAAATTAATCATGGGGATACTTTTATTCCCTTTTCATGCCATTTGTACATTCCTTTGAATTCTCCAGAAATGATGTTGTTAGTTGCATAGTCGTGTCCGACCCATCATGACCCCATGGACAACTTTCCTCCAGGCCCTCCTGTCCTCTACCATCCTCTGGAGTACATTTAAGCTCACACCTACTGCTTCCATCATTCCATCCAGCCACCTCATTCTCTGTTGTTCCTTTCTTCTTTTTCCCTCAGTTTTTTCCTAGCATTAGGCTCTTCTCCAGGGAGTCCTTCCTCCCTGGAAGCCAAAGTATTTGAGTTTCATATTCAGGGTCTGGCCTTCTAAAAAGTAGTCCAGGTTGATCTTCTCTAGGACTGACCAGTTTAATCGCCTTGCAAGGGACTCACGGGAGTCTTCTCCAGCAACAGAGTTCAAAGGCTTCAATTCTTTGGTACTCAGCTTTTCCCATGGTCCAACTTTCACAGCCATCCATTGCAACTGGAGGAACCATGGCCTTGACTATACGCACTTTTGTTGGCAGGGTGATGTCTCTGCTTTTTAGTATGCTGTCTAGATTTGCCATAGCTTTCCTCCCCAGGAGCAAGCATCTTTTAATTTCTTGGCTGCAGAGTCGGACAGTGAGGAGGT